AGCCTTAGCAAGAGTGAGACCCTGTCTCTACTAAAAAAATAAAAATTAATTTATAGAAAAAATTAGCCAGGCATGGTGGCACATGCCTGTAGTCCCAGCTACTCAGGAAGCTAAGGCAGGAGGATCACTTGAGCCCCCGAGTTTGAGGTTGCTGTGAGCTAGGCTGATGCCATGGCACTGTAGCCTAGCTGGGGCAACAGAGTGAGACTCTATCTCAAAGAAAAAAAAAGGAAGATATGAGGAGAGTAGTGGTGTAATTGAGATGACCTAGCTTCTTGGAACCTGAGAGTTTTTAGTCACTTATTGGATAGAGTTTAAATTTAAGAAACTCTACTTGTGAGGCCTTGGTAGAATAGTTCTTTTGTTCATTTCTTCAACAAATATTTATTGAGTACCTACTATATGCCAGGCACTACTGTAGGACCTGGAGGTGGAAGCAGTGAAAAGAAACATACCATGCCCTTGTATTGCTTCCTCTTCAGGGGAGACAATAAATGAATCAAATACATACTATGTATGGTAGTGATAAACGCTGAAGAGAAAAAGTATAAATTGGTATATGAGCCTTATCACATTTTGTAATAGCTTTTTAAGGGGAAATCCTGATGATTAGTGATTTCACACTTCTTAAACTCTGGAATCTTTAGTTTATCTCATTTTTTTTAGTTCTTTTTTTTAATTTTTAATTTTTTTATTGGAGACAGAGTCTCACTCTGTTACCCTATGTAGAGTGCAGTGGTGTCATTGTAGCTCACTGCAACCTCAAACTCCTGGGCTCAAGTGAGCCTCCTGCTTCAGCCTCCTGAGTAGGTGGGACTACAGACATAGTGCCACGACGCCCAGCTGATTTTTCTATTTTTGGTAGAGACAGGGTCTTCCTTTTTGCTCAGGCTGGTCTAGAATTCCTGACCTCAAGCAATCTTCCCACCTTGGCCTATGAGAGTGCTAGGATTACCGGCGTGAGCAAAGGCGCCTGGCCTAGTTCTATCTTGAAAGTAACAAAAACAACTCATCATTTCCCTTAGAAGGAATGGGAATGGAGTAATAGGAATTTTGATCAAATGAAAATAAAATCATTTCAGTTTCCTTACTGCTGTGTTACAAGTGACAATTTTTAAATAGAATCTAACAGCTATTTTACCAATGCAAGAAGTATTTTAGGCTGAGAGGTTTAAAACCCCAACTTCTGTCAAAGTAACATGAACAGATTTGCATGAGCAGATTATTTGTGTTTCTTTATTTGAGGGTTTGGTTGAAAAAATAAAGGGGGATGGGATGTTTGAGAAAATGTAATATTGTTCTTTAGAGTTCTCTTAATGGTGGTGGGAGTGGCAGAGCAGGGCTGATTCAGAAGTAATGGATTGCCCCAGAATATGTATGGAGCCTTGAATTTAGGCATCATTATGAACCCTGCAGAGCCAAAGCAAAGCTTTTTAAACTAAGCATTTAATTGAAAAGTTTGACAATGGTAAATCCCACTTAAGTTTAATTTAAGTTTACTTTTCATAGTTTCCCATGACATTGACCTGGTAGGTAGTGACCATTGTTTGCTTATTAAGCTTTTCTTTTCCCAATACAGATAACAATGAAGATGGTGCCAAAAATGCTTTCTCCTTTGGTTAAAGATTGGGCTCCCAAGGCATTTATAATTTCTTTTAAGTTGGAGACTGATCCCTCCATTGTAATTAATCGTGCTCGGAACGCTTTGGAAATTTATCAACATCAAGTGGTGGTGGCTAATATCCTTGAATCACGACAGTCCTGTGTGGTTATCGTAACCAAAGACTCAGAAACCAAGTTATTGCTATCAGAGGAAGAAGTAGGAAAAGGCATAGAGATAGAAGAGAAGATAGTGGATAATCTTCGATCTCGACACACAGCCTTTATATGTGAAAAAAACTGAAGTAAAAGCCCTTATAGGGTCAAATATTATTCAGGGCTCTTATAGCTGGTGAGAACTATAATAAATCCTTTGCTTTCATAAGGACAGAGAAAATGAAGGAAAGGGAAAAAGTGATGTGCAAATATAGTTTGGTATTTTATCTTTTAATGACCAAACCACCTGACACATTCACCTGAATGTCATCTTGATTTTGAAATTGAACACTAGAGCTGTTTCTCACCTTTAACAAAAGAGCTTATTGGGAATTATATATTCCTCAAAATCTACATGGGGGCCTGAATATCAGCCTTCTTCATACTACAAAAAGAGGATTATGGATGCATGAGTGGTCATGCTTTGAAGATCAAATATTTGTTGAGTGCCTACTATGTGTTAAGTCCTATGATGAGCTATGAGGATTAAAACAATGAATAAACATGTCTTGTTTGGGAAATGGATGTATAAAAAAATACAATAAAGTGTGTGCCCAAAAGCTGCCACAATGGAAAGGATGTTGTTTATTTGGAAATTTATCAAAGACAGGAGTAGGAGAGAAGGACACCTCCCTAAAGATAGATTGTGGAAAGGCGAGCTTCCTACTTCATTTACTTTTGGATTCTCTTTCCAAATAGGGAGATTCACTCCCTATTTGGAGTGAATTTTTCCATATTTCACTCCATATTCACTCCATATTCTCCAAATATGGAGAATATGGAGATTCACTCCATATTTGAGTAACAGTTTATCTTTCAGATATTATAGGATTGCTCTTCAGGTAAACTTGACATGGCTTTCCACCTGGCACCAGGCAGGGGACATTTGATGACCTCTGTCCTGAGGGAGGCATTATAGTGTGGTAAGGAGTATGGGCTTTGGAGTCAACTTAGCCATCTGTGGCACCTATTAGCTTTATGAATTTAGGTTATGTGACTTAATCTCAGTTTCCTCATCCATAAAATGGGGATAATAAGTCTCTTTGAAAATTAATGCCATTCATTATGAGGATTAAATAAACAGTAAACAACAGTATTAGTGTGGTGCCTGGCATGTAATTCACACTCAGTGAATGGTTGTAATTGTTCTTCTCACTTAACAAGGCATTGTTGTACCAGTGCCCTGCTTGATCTTAGAATTTTTGAGAAACTTTCAAAGCTCTAACCATCCTGAGTATTGGGTTGGGAGTGCACAGTAAGTACTGTAAAAAATTTAAAATACAATTCATGATATTTGATGGAGTGAGTTGGGAAGGGTAGTGCAATGTGTCTGACTGTTAATAAGAGTTACAGTAAATTTTAGTTGAGAAGATTTGAACAGAACTGCCAAGGTACACTGAAATACTTCATTAAATCAGAAAGTGTGACCTTGAGCAGAGGAAAAAAACTGTAGTAGTCCCTTTAAACAGATTTTATATGGACTTCAGGTCCAATGTGTGAAACCTCAAAAACAGCATGTTGTCAGCAGTAGCTGCAGTACTGATGGTGCAGGAAGTAAAAGATTAATTTTCTTCCCTACATTTCATAGCTTAATTGGATGATGACTGTCATCAGTACAATGATAATGTACAATGGTGATAAGTGGAGTCAAAAATAGCAGTGATCTTAATGTTTGTTTTTACCATAATTATTCCTTAGGAACCATTTCATATCCTTTTTTGTTAACGACTAAAAGCAGCAACCACTACTTTACATGGAATTATTTAAAGTTTTTTCCACTAAATGGAAATTTAATTTCTATGTAGAGCACTTAAGAGTATTTACACAAGTAAAATTCCAAGGGTTTGTGTGTGTTGAAAGCAAATGGAAGTATGTAAAGAAAGAAAAAAAGAATGTGAGTTGAGAGTAAGTAAGAAGGAACCTGATCTAGATTGGAGCAACAAGGGATGTTTCCCTGGATAGGCTATGCTGACAAATAGGAGTTAAGTGGGCTGCAGGTAGTGGTGGTGCACGTTTTAGATTAAAAAAAAAAAAAAAAACTGCAAGAAGAAGTCTGGTGCTGCAGGTAGGGTGGGGTGGGGAGAGGTTGAAGCACTTGTAGAAAGTAAGGATAAGGTCCATCTAGATAATGCATGTAAAACCAGAAAAAATTTGGAAAGTATCCTTTTAGGGAGCTAGAATAAGATCAAGAAATGTTAAGTAGTGTTTGGGAGCAAAGCAAAGGCTCCCCAAAGATGAGTAAAACAGAGTTTTGATAACTAGGATCTTGCAATAAGAGCATCTAAAAAGATGATAAAAATTAAGCCTAAGTTAAATTTTGTGTCATTTAGAAAAAAAAAATGTTTTAGGCCTCTTTTCCAGGCTGTAGTGCAGTGACATGATCATAGCTTACTGTATCCTTGAACTCCTGGGCTCAAGTGACTTCCGCCTCAGCCTCCTGAGTAGCTGAGACTACAGGCACGTGCCACCAGGCCCAGCTAATTATTATTTATTTTTTGTAGAGACAGGCGGGGGGTCTCACTATGTTACCCAGGCTGGTCTCGAACTCCTGGCCTTTACAGATCCTACTGCTTTGGCCTCCCAAGTGCTAGGATTACAGGCGTGAGCCACTGCACCCAGCCTAGAAATTTTTTACTTTGCATTACATAGGTGTTCGATATGGCTCAACTAAATCAAATTTTAAGTGCTTAGGACTTCTAAAGGGCTTCAGCCTTAAGGAGAATTCTGGCTAAGCCCAGTTTCTTCATTTTTCAATAAGCTGGGTGATTCCAAAAGTGGTGTGATTTATTCTAAGTGCCCCATGTGGTTAGGGACAGATCTAGGCCTAAAATTCAGAACTTCTGGTCTAGCACCCCTGCCACTTTAAGAATGAAGTAACTTATAGAAAACAAATATAAGCATAGTGGGCCAGGACTCTAGATAAGCCCTGGCTGGAAGCACTTTGAGAACGGAGACGGACCTGTGACAAGATGCGGCTTCCAAATTGCAAACGCTTGCCTTACCGTTACCATGGCTACCGCCATCTCCAAAGCCAATGGAATGAGCCGTACGATCAATACTGCCGAAACAACTCCGCCCCGCCACCCAAAGGCCAATGGTATGAGCCGTAACAATGGTCTCCAAAGGAAGAAGAGTCCCTGGCGCCAATGGCGTGCGTCGTATCTATGGTTCCCGCCGGAAGGACGCCGTGCGTCTCTGCGCCGAGCGCGGTTGCTATGGCGCCCGGGTCTCGGTAGGCACCTGTCGTTCCTAGCACGGCGGCTAGGAGAGGAGCGACCTTGGGACCCTCGACGCACCCTCCAAAAGAAGATTTCCAGCCTGGTTCCTAAGGGTTCTGCCTCAGCCCCAAGGAGGAAAGCACGCGTTCTTCCCTCTTTTCCGCATTCCAGGTCTCTTCCTCTTCTCTCCACAGTATGGCCCGAAACTAGAGGAGGAGAGCCCCTCCTGGCGTGGCCTTTCTCGTCCCCGGCTGGAGTGATTCTGCCTGAAGAAGGATTCTCCCGTTTCCCCCGGACCCAGCTGTCGCAGACCTTTAGTATTAGGGTGCTTCTCTTATTTAGAGTGAGCTTGGACACCCTCAGTGAGTTGGCTAGGCGTTCCTTTTCTAACTTTACAGGTGAGGAGACGCACCCCTGGACAGACTGCACCGGGTCCAGGACGCTACAAAGTCCACGGAGGCACAGCTTTGCCCTGCTTGTAGACCCGCGGACAAAGAACTGCCATTTTCTGCTTTTTTGGCCGATGTTCGTCATGCATAACCTTGAATTCCGATGAAGCTTTGGAGGCCTTTTGTTTCTCAACATCAGAGATCATCAAGTCAGTTACCTTCTGCCTTTCAAGCTATCACCTCATCCACTTCTGTCATCACTCTGAGCACCAGTTTGTTCCAAAGCCATTTTCACCCTTCACTGTCCACGCTGCACGTTATTGAACGTCCATTAGTCTCTACCACCTCTGTTATCTGCAGACCATCTCTTTCTGCTTTCCTGCTGCAGTGCTTTGTGTAGCTGAGTATCTTGCATTCTTCAGCCCTACAATCATTGCGAAGATTTTCTCTGTTTCTCTGCACTATGGCATGGTTTCTGTCTTAGGTAAACTAGAGACTAGAATGGAGAAGTGCACCTTGGTAAATGTTAACATTAAATTACTGCAAGCCTAGTGTATTTTGAAAATGGAGGAGAAAAATTGCAGTTTATGGCCCATTTCGTGGTCATATAATGAAAGAGGGTTGTTCCTTGTTTAAGTGAATACTATGTTAGGCATAAATTTTAGTGATGTGTTTATACATATGAAAAGGTCATTCAAAATGATTGTGTAAGAGAGAATTTCAACTTGAAGCCCATATAAACCCAACAGCCAGGGGTATGATAGAATTTTCTGGAGAGAAGATCCTTGAAATAGTTCTTGTGCTTTCTTTTCACGTTCGTTTCTGAATCAGAAGACAATCTGTGTTATGTGAGCCAAGAAAACAAAAACAATAGGGAAGATTGATAGAAAATAAATATTTTTGGCAAGGGAACAGGCATAATAGCCCTAAAAAGACTGGAACAGAGGGCCTTAAATACAGAATAAGATTAATTTAGATCCAGTGCGATTTCATTTTAGCTTGGACAGCTTGATTTAATTTGTCTTAAAATATGTGTTCCTTGTTGAGTCTTACTATTTCTTCTTCAGTATTCAGGTATAAATATAAACCTATTTTGAGGATACACAAAATGTACAGTTTTATTATAACAAGTTTTGGGGGGATATAATTATTTGGATATTTTTATTTCTCGGGCCAACTGAAGCAGTTATTTGTGATGTCTCATGCTTAGAGCCAGGTCAAGTTTCCAAATAATAAGAAATTCAGCTTTCTCTTCTATAATATTAATAGATTGGAAAAGAAAAGTACTGCAGCTTTTTCAGTTTTGTGCATTAAATGGGAACTGAATAGATTTTAACTCTTGAAAAAAGAGGCTGTTAGATATTACATTGTAAAGAGCTTTCCTTTCCCAATATGTATTTGTTGAATAGCAAGGTTGACATAAACTTAAAAAATATTTTCCCCTTACTCTAGCACTGTTCTAACCTAGGGGGCAATTTTGCCTCCTAAGAGACATTTGGCAATGTATGGAAACATTTTTAGTTGTCACAACTGGGGATGTGCTACTGGTATCTAGTTGGAAGAGGCCAGAGATGCTGCTATGCATCCTACTATCACAGAACCACCCGCACAACAATTATCCAACCCAAAATGTCAACAATGTCATGGTTGAGAAACTGTCCTAACATAGCAACAGGTCATTTTTCTGTTCTATGGCAGTCAGTCCTTGATCATGTGTATGTTTTTACATAGTTATAATGTGCATTTTGCTTTTCTCTTTCATTTAATTTTATATTTTAAACATTTTCAACTTCTTTAAAAGGTATATTTTTCATTTTATTTGGGAATTGATAGGAAGAAACTGTGCATAATATGTATTGTATTTAAGATGTCTGTAAGTTTTAAATTATATTTGTGTAGATGGAAGAAAGAAGGGTGAAAAGTCACGTGACTGGATATTTCAGTTTCTGTGGCCATGCTATTTATTTTGTTCCCTAGCGTCACTCAAAGACCATGGGATCCAAAACTTATCATTTTCTCAGAACTAGGAGATGTGCTGTGGCATGAGATATGGTCCTGACCCCTATGCTCTAGTTGGAGGGCACCTGCTAGCAGAAAAAAGAGCAAGTAGAAATGGTTGCATCCATTCTCCTTGCCCTCTTCCTATTTAAAATTCTTTGTCCGTGTCTCAGTTTGTTTTGACAGCTTTACCCCCTTATTCTTTACATCCCGAAGTTTTTGGAGGCCTAAAAACACTAGAGGATTCACTTCATTCCACAGAATGGATTTTTAAGATATTTAATGAGCATTTATTCAGTATCTACTTTGGAGGGAATACTTTGCTATGTGGGCAATTACAGGTACAGTTTAAATGTCAGATCACGTATAATTCAAAGAACAGATTTATATTACCTCAAGATCTGCTTTATTAGAATTTTCCAGTTCCTCAACCATTAGATCTCAATAAATCCACCAGAAAATGTTTGTTCTGTCAGCTGGGCATGGTGGCACATGCCTGTAGTCCCAGCTACTTGGAAGCTGAGACAGGAGGATTGCTTGAGTCCAGCCCAGGAATTTGAGGCTGCAGTGAGCTATGATGACACCACTGTACTCTAACCCAACCAACAGAGTGAGACTGTATCTCAAAAAAAAAAAAAATACTTGCTGAGAGACAGGAAGAAAAAAAAAAAAATTGTTCTACTATGTCATGGCACCATTCCAGACAGAGGGAACTGACTGTTGAAAGTCACAGAAATATATATAAGCAGCATCATGGGGATCAGTAAGTATACTGACATGAAATGCTAATGTCAAGGAGTGGCAGAAGATAAGGCTACAGAGACTGGCAGGAACCAGACCGTGAAGAATCTCTGGTGCCAGCTAAGGAGTTTGAACTCTGCCTGAAAGCAGTAAGAATGTTAAGCAGCAAGTGATTTGCATTCAGAAGGATCAGTCTGGAGCTTTGCTCAGCACAGATTGGATGGAGGCCAGCCTGGCAGCAGGAACATCAGTTAAGGATGCTATTACACTAAACTGAGCAACTAGTGAGGAAAGCCTAAATAAAGCAGCAACTGTAGACATGGAGAGGATGAATTAGAAAATGATAAAAGAGATACTACAAATTCAGTGACTGGTTGTGTATGAGAGTAGGATGAATAAGAAAAAGGGGTCAAGGATGGCTTCTAGATTTCTGGCTTGGGAAACTATATTGATGGTGATTTTAACTGTGAATACAGGAGGAAGAGGGAAAGACAAATGGGTTGTTCAAGCAGAGTTGTTCACTAGACAGTTGGACATGCATTGGTCTTAAATAGCAACTCGTTTTATATTGCCTTCCTAGCCTATAGCCTCTTCTCTGGAACTTGCATCTCTCCACCAATCTTTGCTTAAAGAGTAGGCTTCAGTGGTCATATTTACACCCCTACCTCCAACCCATTTCATGTACAACTGACTGAATGAGGAATATACATAACTAACTTCAGAGAGGGGGGCACAACCTATTGGGTAAGCAACAAATAATGGTTTCTCTTTCAAAAATTTGAATGAAGAGATACAGAGGCCGGACACGGTGGCTCACGCCTGTAATCCTAGCACTCTGAGAAGCCAAGGCGGGTGGATCGCTCAAGTCAGGAGTTCAAAACCAGCCTGAGCAAGAGCGAGATCTCATCTCTACTAAAAATAGAAAGGAATTAATTGGCCAACTAAAAATATATAGAAAAAAATTAGCTGGGCATGGTGGAACATGCCTGTAGTCCCAGCTACTCGGGAGGCTGAGCCAGAAGGATTGCTTGAACCCAAGAGTTTGAGGTTGCTGTGACGACACTCTAGCCAGGGCAACAGAGTGAGACTCTGCCTTAAAAAAACAAACAAACAAACAAACAAAAAAACCAACAAGAGATACAAAGAAATGGCTTAATCCAAAAAGTCACATAGGTTTAGGACTTGAATGGCTGTTTTCAGCCTTGCTGATGAGTAAGGCAGATAAGGTCCATCCCTGTAGAGAAGCCAGAGGAGCAGACTCACAGGGAAACCCAGAGACAAAAGACTCCATGGGTCAGGAGAGACAGTAATGGCTGTCTAGTTCCATATCCAATTCCTATGTAGTCACATTTAGTTTCCAGCACATGTCCTTGTATGTTATCTATTCAGTAACCTTCCTGTAGTAGTTGGGATTGACTGGCTGTGAGGGACAGAAAGCTTAAAATAATACTAGTTTGAAAAAGAAAGAAATTTATTTCTCTCACAGAAAAGTCAAGAAGAAGGCAATCTATAACTGGTAGGATAGCATCTTGAAATTGTCAGGGTTCCATGTTTCTTCTCTCCTGATGTTATATCATCCATGCATGTCTTTTCCACCATATGGTGTCCAGGGTGGCTGCTCAAACCTTAGCTATATTGTCTGAATTCCAGCCAGTAGAAAGGAGAAAGGAGCAAGGAAGGGGACACCCTGTTTCTTTAAGGACACTTTCCAGGAGCAGCACACAATTCCATGTGCATCCCGTTGGTTAGAACTTAGTCACCTAACAGTAAGAAAGGCAGCCTTGTATTGTGATCTGTCAAAAAACTAAATGTCTTGTTTCTGTGGAAGAAGAGCAGAATAAGTATTAAAGGACAATTGACAGTCTCTGCCACACTTACCTGTATTTGTTCCAACTTCAATGTGTTTCTGTTTCATGCCACTTTTATAGATAGATCTGGAGCATAGCAGAGATAGATTATTATTTAATCCTCCTAACAACCTCATGAAATAGGCATAACTATTACCTCTATTTTTTAGAGGGGGGAATGAAAATTTTAAGCAGTTATGTGACTTGTCTAAGTCACATAGCTACAAAGTGGTGAAGCCAGAGTGAGATATATCAGACTCCTATGGCCAAGCTGTTCATCACCATGGTAGTGAGAAGGGCAGAGAGCCTAAGGCAAATAGCAGCATTTGAAAGGCCTGCAGAAGAGGAGGAGCCCAGAAAGAACACTGAGAAGGAAAGGCTAGAGGAGTCAAAACAGGAGAAACTGCTATCACAGAACAGAAAGGAAACATTTTCAGGAAAAGAGTGAACAGGTTCTGCAGAGAGATCATATGTAAAAAGAAAAGAAATAGGGCCAGTTGGAGGTGGTATTTTGAGTTCATTGTTGACTGATAATTTGAGTACAGTGTTAAGAGTAGGAGCCAAAATGCAGTAAGTGTGGTAGACAGATTGTCCAAAAGAGGACGATTGCTAGAGAGGGATATGGTGGGGCCAAGGGAGCTTGTTTTTGTATCTTTATTTTTAAGATCAGAGGCATCTTGAGCTTGAGGGCAAGAAACCAGCAGAGAGGGAGATAATAAGCATACAGAAAAGCAAATGCTTCCCTGAGGAATCAGTATGGGATGGGACCTAGAACACAGGTAAAAGGATTAGCTTTGATCAGGGGATGGAAAGCTCTTCCACTGAGAAGGGAAAGAGGACAGAATGTGTGAAGATGAAGGCTGATACATTGGTAGTAGGAGAAGAAGCTGACAGAATTTTATGACCTTAGTTTTATTAGTGTTGTGAGAGACAAGTTCATCTGCCAAGAGTGAGGGGAAAGGTGAGATTTGCAGTTTGATGAGAGAGGTAAAAGTTCTGAATAGTTGTTGAGTGAAACGGTAGCAGAAGCTGGCAACTCATAAATGATCCAGCAGTTGAGAAACTTGGCTCAGGCTGGAGACCATGAATCTGTAGTGTTTCTAGTCTGCATATTTGTTTGATTTTTCTTTACCAGAACTCAGCAACCTAAAATAGGTAGGGAGTAGTCAAATGGTTGAACTTTTCCTGGGCTGAGATTTGCAAGAAAGGTGGCACAAGGGGTAAGATAACTGGGGACACTGGTGAGGGATTGTTTGAAATGATCAACAGTTGGATCTAGGCTTGAGCAGGAAACGAAGCCAAAGAGTGTCTTGTAGTTTGAAGGAGATGTAATGGTCCAGAGACTGGAGGTCTCACTGTAATTGTTGAGTAAGTACAGTTGAAGAGAGCAATCTCTTAACACCCATTAGGATGGCTATTAAGAAAGAAAGAAAGAAAGAAAGAAAGAAAGAAAGAAAGAAAGAAAGAAAGAAAGAAAGAAAGAAAGAAAGAAACAAAAAATAGTAAGTATTGGTAAGGATGTGGAGAAATTGGAACCTTTCTGCATTGCTGGTGGGAATGTAAAATGGTACAGCTGCAGTGGAAGATAGTATGACCATTCCTCAAAAGTTAGACGTAGAATTATATATGTAGCAATTCCACTCCTAGGTAATACATACCCCAAACAATTGAAAGCAGGGACTCAAACAGATACTTGTACACCAGTGTTCATAGCAGCATCATTCATAATCATCAAAAGGTGGAAACAATAGAATGTCCATCAACAGATGAATGTATGAACAAAATGAGGTGTATACGTAAAATGGAATATTATTTAGCCTTAAAAAGAAATGAAATTCTGATACATGCTACAACATGGATGAACTTTGAAGACATCATGCTGAGTAAAATAAGCCAAAGGACAAATATTGTATGATTCCACTTACATGAGTTACCAAAAATAGGCAGATTTATAGAGACAAAAGGTAGAGGTTACCAGGGGCTGGGGAATAGGAGAATAGGAAGTTATTGTTTAATACATACAGAGTTTCTGTTTGGGATAATGAAAAAGTTCAAGAAATGGATAGTGGTACTGGTTGGACAGTGTTGTGATTGTACTTAATGCCACTGAATTGTACACTTAAAAATGGTTAAAGTAGGCCAGGCGTGGTGGCTCACGCCTGTAATCCTAGCACTCTGGGAGGCTGAGGCGCGAGGATCGCTCAAAGTCAGGAGTTCAAAACCAGCCTGAGCAAGCGCGAGACCCCGTATCTACTAAAAATAGAAAGAAGTTAATTGGCCAACTAAAAATATAGGGAAAAAATTAGCCAGGAATGGTGGCGCATGCCTATAGTCCCAGCTACTTGGGAGGCTGAGACAGGAGGATCGCTTGAACCCAGGAGTTTGAGGTTGCTATGAGCTAGGCTGATGCCAGGGCATTCTACCCTTGGCAATAGAATGAGACTCTGTCTCAAAAAAAAAAAAAAAAAAGGTTAAAATAGTAAATTTTAGAATATGTATATTTTACAACAATTAAGAAAAAAGAAGGGGCAGGAAGCATAGAAGGTGGTGGACAGAGAGGGATGTTGGAATTTATGATTGCAGGGTTTCAACATTAGTTCTGGTTATGATAAGGGGTCACATGTAGCCATGGGGTGGGTGGCTAAATAGAGTGCAGACTAAGGATCACTGGTTTGGGGAGGAGGGTGATCAAGTGGAGGAGCTTGGATGAGTTGTGCACTTAGATAGTGACCTGAAGCCTGCACTGTCCTGAGCAGCAAGCCCCCTATTCCTACATCCCAGCTTACACTCTGCTACCCTAAATCTCCCAGAAGCCAAGGATCCAAAGGTATTTTCAATATTCTCCATCCCTTTTTCCTTTCAACTTCATCCAACCTAAGACTCTCCCACTCCACCCTTGCAGCATGGGGATTATGCTGTTCTGTGTGTGCAAACAACCCATATTACAGGACTTATAATAACATTAATTAAATTAAGCATTTATTTTCTAATCACTCACAATCTTATCAGTTTATCAACTTTTAAAGTATGTTTTTTAACACTATGATATATTTGCTTCCAGTCTTTATTTGGTTTTCACATAGTTATACTTTTGCATTCTACTTTTTCTCTTGTGATTATAACATAAGCATTTCCCCATATTGCCAAGTAGACCTCGTAGGATGCTACATATTTTTAGTGTCTTGGGCTCTCTGCTACCCAGGACTAAAACCACAAGTAACTTGGCCATGCATGGTGGCTCACACCTGTAATCCTAGCACTGTGGGAGGCTGAGAAGGGAAGATCCCTTTAGGAGTCTGAGAGCAGCCTGAGCAAGAGCCAGACCCAGTCTTTACGAAAAATAGAAAAATTAGCCAGGCATAGTGGCACATGCCTGTAGTCCCAACTACTCAGGAGGCTGAGGCAGGAGGATTGCTTGAGCCAGGGGAACCAAGCAAGAATCTGTCTCAAAAAAATAAAAATAAAAATAACCAAAAAAGAAAAAACAGTACCCCCCCCAAAAAAAATCCACAAGTTTTTTTTATATGATGCTCACAGTCCTTGTTGGGAGAAGGATATGAGTGGGGAACCAGATGATGGGGGCTGGGGGAGCATGAGAGAAGATTTTTAGTTGTAAATCAGAAGGAGAACCCATGGGAATGCAAGTATTCAAACCTGGGTCTCTTTTCATCAGTATGAATATCAGATGATAATTAAAACTTTATATATTGTCCACAAAAACTGTTGATGTGAAAATGGTTAGACTCTGGAAAACTTAGTAATCAAAGGAGAAAAATAATAAAAATATGGTTTTGCTTTTCAAAAAGCAAAACCAAATATTTTATGTGGATTCTGCTGTACAATAACAATTTTATCTATCACTATAATTTGTGTCAGATTAACTTGATTAAAAGTTGCATTTGATTATAACAGCAAGTCCTATTCATAGTGGTTCTAGTAACACAGATACCACTTTAATCAGCAGATAATTATCTTTCACATACTGTCATAGTGCAAGCTGTTATAGTGCATGATTGATTACTTGCAACCTAAGAAAATTAAACATAATATTGATGGCAGTCTTCGATCAAGAAGTTTTGGAAGACAGCTAAATGACTTAGAAGTCAACATAAATTATAATATATTTTGCAAGTAAAATCATTTGTTGATAGTTCAGAATTGGGGGCTTTCCAACTCCCAGAGGAGTCCTTTTATTTCTAAATTTTCAATAAGAGGAACAAAGCCTTCTTTGGATTTTATTAAAAAAAACAAGATACCTTTGGGAGATTTTCAGATTATTAAATTGCAAACTTCAGAATGCATAGACAGAAAGGCTTGTATTTTTTCAAACACTCTGTTATACAAAATTTGCATTAAATATATCATGTCCTCATTTGTTATTTTAGAAGATATTATAAAGTTGTTCAAAGCTTTAAATTTGTTGATACTGTCAGCTGTTTAAGTGCTCGTTATAACTGGATAACAGCAATTAATAGGAAAACTATAATATACTTTGTGGAGAGTCTAACTCTAGACATATACACATATTACATTTTTTGTTTCCTCAGTCGTATGTGTGTATGTGTACATACACATGTGCTTATCTCTTCTATCAAGGTAAAAGTTCATTTAGAAGACATACTTCGCCATCTTGAGAAAGAAGGAATTGAACCTGGCAACTACAGAAGAAAACTCCATTTCTCTGGTACTTACTCTAGCACAGTGAAGACAGACTGAGGACTGCTACCAGAAATGTAGAAGAGCTTACAAGGAAGCACATGGAAAAAACAAGAGAAGTAAGAGCTAATAGCAAAGTTCTAAAGATGCCTGTGGTTTTTTAATTGTCTTTCATTAAATTGACACATTAAAAACTAACATTTGAATATCACCATTGTATAGTTTGCAAAACACTCATATGTATGTTTTTTTTTTTTTTAAATGAAACATGGCAACAATCTGTATTGGTTTCCAGTAGAGTGTATTAGATGTTGCCCACCGATGACTGATTGAACATCCAAACAGGTCTGCTCAAAGTAGCTTTCATTATCTTGGTAAAGTCATCCTTGTCTCAGGAGCTGACCTTCCAGGTGACTCTTTCAAGACTTAGAAACCTAATCAGTCAGCATACTGTCAGAGGGTCTGCTCCTCAAAGATGGGCTTGTGTTTACCAAACTCATAGAGATGTTTGTAGAAAAACAGACAACCACTTACTCATTGACAAAAAGAAATATAATTGCCAGAAGAACCAGACACATGTTTCTTTTGGCTGATGCATTCTCTTACAGGTACTTTACATGGAAAGCCAAATTTTAATTAGATGGTTATTTGGTGAACAAATGATTCTAAATTTTTATAGCACTGTCTGAGATAGCTGGATTTCTGTAACAGGGCTATCAATACCTACCTTCATCTCTGGACTTTTTATGTCCTAGGACCAGGGCACCTAGAGCTCAGATGGGTAAATAATGCCATTTTTGTACTCTGTTATCTCTTTTTGATGTTTCCAATACTGATCAACCTACTTTCTGGCATACTCTTTCTTTAAATGAGCTAATGAATTCTCTCAGGTTGCCTGGAAATCACTCTGCTGTGTTTCCATATCTTAGCTCATGCAGGTAACTGACTGATTTTTAAATTTAGTTCTTAAAGGACAACCCAATTTCCAAATTCTTGAAGAATGCAGCTCCTGTAGAACAAAAAGCAGTATAACATAATAAAGCAAGAATTTTAACATTAGGCATATGGGGTGAAAAATTTGCCGTGAGCATTGTCTTTCTGTGTAACATTGGGCAAGTTATTCCACTTCTTTGAGCTCAAAATTCCTATCTGTAAGAAGGAGATGTGAATAGCTTCTTTAAAGGGATTAGTGAGGTTTATACAAGTTAATGTGTATAAAACATTGCACACAGGTCCTTGGCACCTAGCAAGTATTCAACACAGGTCCTTGGCACCTAGCAAGTATTCAACAAATTGTAGCTGCTGTTATTACAAATGGATGTTGTTCCTGCCATTTTAAAGAGAAGGAAATTGAAGCTTACCAGAAGTGATAAAGTTGGACTGCAATTCCTGTGTTCCTTCTATTATACTATTATTATACTATTATCTGATATTATATATATATCAGATTTTTGTGCATATTCTGAGGAGTTTCCCAATAGTCTTCCAAAAAATTCAGCAAAATGCAATTCAGTTATTCTGGTGGTTTATTTCCAAGCCATTTGACATAGTAAGAGCTCAGTCTCTCGTTTTGGTCCACCTGACTGTGAATTCTAGCTCTTCCCTTATTCCTGTATGACAAGGCAAGTCTTTTAGCCTCTCTAAGCCTGCTTCCTTACCTGTAAAGTGGAAGAATAACAGTCCTATATGGTTGTGGTAATAAGTAAGTATTGATGTCCTTAATACAGTCCTGGAGTATAATGGTTAGCTTTCCATGTATTATTAATATTAGCCGCATAAAAGTACCTTTGTGAACCTGTCATATTAACTAGAAACTATTTTTAAAGAATACTCAATAATTTATTTTAATGTAAACTCCTATTGACATTTAAGACATCTTAATCATCAGTATTAGCAAAGCAGTATAAGCCTAATTATTGTATAGATTTTCCTCTATTCATGGGTATTATGACCATATTTCCTAAACCACAGATAAGGAGACTTGATTTGAAACATGCTATGTTGATAGAAAAAAATATTAGCCATTGGGTTTGTCCCATAGGTTTGTGGTTGTGTGTCATCATACTAACAGGAAACATGGTGTGTGATAACATGAGACAGCTGGAAGAAAGTTTAGGGAGAGAGACCCATGATTAAGGAAAGCTGAGTTTTCTGTTTATTTCTCAGATTATAGTCATGATAGAATGGTGATCTCTTAATGGCTCTTTCATTTACTGGGCTTTTAATATGGATTACAATATGAGCCATAGACTAAGAGTAAGAAAATATGTTATTTTCTTTTTAGGTGGAAAATTATGCAAACCATGTCTGTAACTTAACAGAGGGAAGAGAAGCATTTTCTCATGGTTATGACAAGGAAAACGAACAGCTTAGACACGCGTTTAAAGCACTCCAACTCAAACAGGGTAATTTTTCCTTTTGTGAAAATGTAAATTTTTTTCCTAATTCCAAAAATTAATATGTGACAATTACAGAAAATTTGGGAAATGTATAAAAGTAGAAGGGAGAGGGGAAAACTACTATATATATATTCCACCCCAAGAAAAGTACTTCTAATGTCTTAGGTATATTTTCTGCCTGTTTTTTTTAAAGTATATGTTCTGAAATAGTCTGAAATGTGTGTGTGAGAGAGGCAGAGTGGTTGTTTTTTTCAGTGTCTATTACAGCACTTACCACACTGTATCATAATTATCCGTGTCAGCTCCTCTGGAGCAGAGATCATGTTGTTTTCTTAGTTTCTGTGTCCCCCATAGCACCTAACTTGTAAAGTACCTAGAGTAAGGGAGGCAAAACTTTCTCTCTTCCCTTTCAGGGTTTTTTTCCAGCTGGGTCTGAGAAGTAAATTGATATGAGACAGATTAACAGGAGAAAAAGCATGCAGATTTATTTAATATAAGTTTTAAGTGACTCAGGAACCTTCCTTCATAAAGAAATGAAGACCCAAAGAAGTAGAGTCAATCACTCATATACTGAATTAGAAAAGAACAGTAAGTTGTGAAAAAGCAACTAAATGTATGGAGAGACTTAAAAGATAACAGTTATTTAGCAAGGTCTGTTTAGAAATTTCTCACTTTCAACCTCCTGTCTTTGATGGGAAGAATGTTACTTTTCTTATAGTATAAGGAGGGCATCTTTCAACAAGGGAATTTCATCTACTTTTAAGGAACAGAAAGAAGGAAGGTCAGAATGATCTGGCACCTGCTATTTTTTAAGTTCCTTTAACTTAAAATAGTCAATATGCTAGAGTTGTATATTTTTAACTCCTCACTAGTATAATAAGAACTTAGAAAATATTTATTAAACCCTTCAAAGTTACAAGGGAAAATACAGATATTAATTACCCTTTTAGAATATTCTACCCTTAACTCCACAAATTAGATGTTATTATCATATGGTCAGTGATTATATTTACCACATATTTATTATTTTATTTACTCAGTATTTTTTTTGCAACTCAGATATTCCATTTGGGATCATTTCCCTTTTTTTTCCCTTTAGAGCTTCCTTTTACAAGGATCTGTTAATGGCAAACATTTTTTTCTTTATTTTGAACCTCAGGTGCAGAGAGTGTTGAGTTAATTACAGGACATATTTCACATGTACTTCACTCTCACTTTTATTATTTTTCCTTTGTTGCTTTCCATTGAATATGTTGAGTTTTCTTCTGATGATTTGAAAGTTCACCTTCTGTTTTTGGTCATTTGGTGGTTGTATTTTAAGAGTTTTCTTTAATTTCTTCCAGTATTTTTAGTTATTCTAAGTAAGAGGGTTGTTACAAAGTTCTAATCTGCCATAACGCAAGAAGCAGAAGACACTGTATGTTCTGTGGCTAACATGTGTTTTTACAACATAATTTAGCTCATGAGGGATTAGCAAATGGGGGAATGATATAATTATAATGTGGAGGTTTATATACAATTTTTCCCAGCACGTGAATGATTTGGACTACCAGCAAGCCTCAGAGTCTGTCCATGAATCCTGTTCATCCCATGTTCTTCCTCTGGGCTCAGTTTAGCCACATGTTTTGCTTTGGAAGTGTTTATTGCACAGATATCCCCAATCTTGTGCATTTTGCATTTGTTTCCATAACTCTTCAATCTCAACTCCTTTTTTTAAAAAGATGAAATTTCTTCTATTTACTTCAGAATTCCTTTATTTTTTAGGAATTTGACATAGCTCTTTAAATGTACCAATATAATTATTGGGATTGTCAATGGTTTTTATAGCACAACTGCAGTTACTCAAAGCAAAGGCTCTGAGTGGCTTATCCCAACATATTTTTTCAATATGCCTTATTATTTTCAGTGAGCAATTTTGCAAAATATATGTTTGGATTTTTTTTTCTTTTAGGAGCACATATGTCTACCACATATTACAATATAATCAAAGGATATATTTTGAAAGTAGACCTAATACAATTTGATGGTTGATTTAATGTTGGGTGGGAGTAAGGAAGAGAAGTCACTATTGACCCAAACTTTTTTGGCCTGAGCAGTTAGAATATTGGAGTTTCCAACTGCTCAGAGGGAGGAGATTATAGGAGACCCAATTTGGGAGAGACAGTAAAGGATTTGCTTTTGGACATGTAAATTTTGATGTATGTATTAGATAGCCAAGTGGAAAAGTCAAGTAGGCAATTGTGTATATGTCTGGAATGCAATGCATGCTGGAGATAGAAATTTGTAAGTCATCAGCATATAGCTAATACTTAAAGCCTTGGGGCTGGGCGTGATGGCTCACACCTGTAATCCTAGCATTTTGGGAGGCCGCGGTGGGTGGATCTTTTGAGCTCAGGAGTTCAAGACTAGCCTGAGCAAGAGTGAGACCCGTCTCTACTATAAATAGAAAGAAATTAATTGGCCAACTAATATATATAGAAAAAATTAGCTGGGCATGGTGGCGAATGCCTGTAGTCCAGCTAGTCAGGAGGCTGAGGCAGGAGGATAGCTTGAGCCCAGGAGATTGAGGTTGCTGTGAGCTAGGCTGATGTGATGGCACTCACTCTAGCCTAGGCAACAAAGTGAGACTCTGTCTCAAAAAACAAAACAAAACAAAACAAAAAACCATAGGACCTGAGTCTCTAATGAATTTCCTAGGTAGATAACATTTTATATGTGTTGTCACAATTCACTACTGGAGAGTCATCCTATGTGACTCCCCTGGGAGAGGACTCTTGGAAGCTTGTCCCTGGTTTCTTCTAGACTTTGCCCCATGAATCTTTTCCCTTTGCGGATTTTGCTTTATATCCTTTTGCTGTAGTAATTCTTAGCTGCATGAGCATACACTGAGTCCTAATGAATCCTCTTGGCAAATCACCAAACCTGAGAGTGATCTTGGAGGCCCCTGACACTCATACCATGGAGTACTATTAATACTATTTGATAGTAAAAGAAATGAAGTGCTTATACCTGCTACATGGATAAATATCAAAAACATGCTAAGTGAAAGAAGTCAGTTGCAAAAGATCATCTGTTGTTCCATATAATGATTCCATTTATGTAAAATGTACATAAAAGGTAAATCCATAGAGATATAAAGTAGATTAATATAGCTGGGCATGGTGAAATGGGCCTGCAGTCCCAACTCAGCTACCTAGGAGGCTGAGTGGGAGGATCATGTAAGCCCAGGAGTTTGAGACTGGCTTGGGCACCTATCTCTCTGGGAAAAAATAAAAAAGAAGAAGGAAACAAAAGGAAAGTAGATTAGTGCTAGGGCTAGGGATGAGAATGGGGATTGCCTAGATGGGTGTGAGTTTTCTTTATGTGGTGGTGGAAATGTCTTAAAATTAAATTGTGGTGGCTGCACACCTGTAAATATACTAAAAATCACTGAATTTACCCTTAAAATGGGTGAATTTTATGGTATTTAATTGTACCTTCATTAAGCTATTAAAAATATTATAAGACCTGGGAGAAATAAATACATTAGGTGGAAATCTCAGATGCCCTTAAGAGCTCCATCCTCTGGTATATACATACATTTTCCCAGTTAGTCAATCAAATACAATCTAGATATCGCTGTGAAGAGATTTTACCAAAGTAATTATGATCCCAAATCAGTTGACTTTAAGGAAGGGAGATCATCCTTCATGAACCTGTTTTAATCAGGTGAGCTCTTAAAAGGGTCTGGGCTTTTCCTGGAAAAAAAGATTTGAAGTGTGAGAAGGATTTAACATGAGGGAAATTCTTCATTGCTAACTTTGAAGATGGAGAAGAACATGTGGCAAAGAATGTGGGTGGCCTCCAAGAACCCAGAGAGACCTCCAGCTGACAGCAAGGAAACAGGGACCTCAGTTTTACACCTCAAGGACTGAATTCAGCCAACAACCTGAATCAGCTTGGAAGTCGGTTCTTACACAGAGCCTCCAGAGAGAAACAGACTGGGCAACCCCTGATTTCAGCCTTGGGAGAATGATCAGAGAACCCAGCCTCACCAGGCATGCCTGGACTTCTTTTTTTTTTTTTTTTTTTTGAATTTTTTATTTTGTATTATTTTATTTTTTAATTTTCTCTCTCTCTCTCTCTCTCTCTCTCTCTCTTTTAATTTTTTTTATTCTTTATCAAACTTAAACCTAAGCCATGCCTGGACTTCTGACCTACGGAACTGTGAGCTAATAGATGGATGCTGTTTTAAGATACTAAGTTTGTGGTAGTTATGTAACATTAGAAAATTACAATATGTAAGAGCATAAATGAAACAAGATTTGCCATTAGTTGATAATTATTAAAAGCTAGGTGATGGATACAGGTGTTCCCATAATTCTGTTCTATCTACTTTTAAATATGTTTGAAATTTTCCATAAGTATAAAAGTTTTTACAAAATATCTAAACAAATAGAAAGTAAAACTGTCAATATAGCAGAGAGGTCCCCCCAAATTATAATCAAATACAGTTTTAGAAATGTTATTAGTTTAAGAGGAATAATGGAAAGCTACAATTATCAAATATCTTCATGAATGTGGAAGAAACTAACCTGGCAGTACAAGTTAATGAATTTAGTAGTCTGTGATATTGTTTAAATTTGACATACAATATATTTGATTATATGTATTATTCTAAAAATAGGTTGTTTTTTTTTTAAAGTGGAAATTAAATCAAATGTTTTCAGGACACCTGAAGTACCTCCTCAGAACTTTAAAGTTCATAGAATACAATTAGAAAGTCCCTGGCTTACATCAGAAATTCTGAACTTTCTTTTGTAGCAAACAAGGCCTTTTTGGTTGGGCTCCTGCCTATCTATCCAGCTCATATCCCACACGTTTTCTAATTCTTTGTGCTGTAGACTCAAGCAGTCTGAGACTGCATGTAGTTCCAAGAACATGCAGGGTTCTCTGCTACCTCCTCTCCTTTGTTCTGTCCTACCTCCTCTCTTTTATTCATGCTATTCCCTGTTTCTGGGAAATCCTTTCCACCTGCCATGACTTTACTCTTTCTCCTCCTACAATACAGAAATACATTGGAAAACTATTCTTTTAGTAAAACGGAAGCTATTCTCCTCTCTCTGGCACAGTGTAAACAGACCTAGGTTCATATCACAACAAGTTACTACTTGTGTGACATTGAGCAAGTTGCTTAACTTTTTGGAGCCTTGCTTATATAATCTATAAGTTGGGAATATTAATACCTATTTTGCAGATTTGTTATGATGATTAATATATCTTCTACTAGTAGCCGCTGCCACTGATAGCAGTATTAATATCGCTATAGTTAGGAATACAATTTTAGGTGACTCTTATAGATTATACTGGGATTTTCTCCATAGAACTGCATGTTATGGACATAATAATAAAACATGCACAGTTGTGCTGATGTACTAACTCTGTGAGGAATGATCTCTTATAAAATTCATCTTAGTCTTACTTCTAGGAGGTTCTTCATTCTGACAATATAGGAGACCTATCAGTAATATCACTGGTGATGAGGAGAAGGCCACAGGAAGCAAAGAGATAAAACATGGATTAGAGAACCCAAATCCAATCAACTCTAATGTCCCATGTCTTCCTAAATATTATTCTGCCATCCTCATACATTTCTTGGATAGTACCAAAAGCTATTCCCTGAACTTTTATTATTTTGATATTTCTAGCAGCTATCAACAAAATTCTTTTTTTTGAGACAGAGTCGCTCTCTTACCTGGGCTAGAGTGCCAAAATTCTAAATATTATTGATTACAGGAATTAATTTTCATTTTTTCTGAGTATAATTTCTTTTTACTAAACTTGTAGTGCCATGCTTAAAAATCTTCTAGCTGTTCCTCCTGTTTATAATGGTCCAAACTCTTCGTCATGGAATCTGATAGGAGAAACAGGGAAAGACAATTACAAGATTAGATAACTAGGGATAGGGATGAATATAGGATGTAATAGGAACACTAAGAGGGAAGTCTAGAAAAACTTCGTGGAGGAGCTGGCATTGATGCAGAAACTTAAAGGACAGTTATCCAGATGGAAGAAAGTGTTCTAAACAGAGTCATTTGAAATTTGATTATTACACTAATTATTTTCTTCTTACACAAATATTTTCTTTTTTAGATTCTGCACTTGAGAAGGCTCAACTAGAAATTGAGAAATTGAAAGAAAATTTAATAAAGCTGAAAGAAAATGGTAATTCATTCTAGTATATATAATTATTAATAACAAATTAAAAATAATATTTTACACTTTGGGAGGCCGAGACAGGCAGATCACTCAAGATCAGGAGTTCAAAACCAGCCTGAGCAAGAGTGAGACCCTGTCTCTACTAAAAATAGAAAGAAATTAATTGGTCAACTAAAAATATATAGAAAAAATTAGCCATGCATGGTGGCGCATGCCTATAGGCCCAGCTACTCGGGAGACTGAGGCAGAAGGATTGCTTGAGCCCAGGAGTTTGAGGTTGCTGTGAGCTAGGCTGACGCCACGGCACTCTAGTCAGGGCAAAAGAGTGAGACTCTGTCTCAAAAAAAAGCCCAACTCATTGTTCTGGTATGAGAAATATAGAACTTTCTGTTCTGTTTCATTAGATTAATAGAATATTCCAGGACTGGACTTGAGAGTCTAATGGTTGTCCTATGCAGAGAGCCACATATGCAGAGACATGGTAGGATGGGGAATTGTAACTTCCTTAGTTTTAGAGTTAATGCCCCCAAAACTAAAACTTTGATCCATTTGAGTAAACTGTTTTTCTGTTTTAGATGCAATTGACCTACAGAAAGCAAAGGAACATAATCAGAGACTGGATGAGGAAATTCTGGCTTTAAGAAATCGGGTTCGATCGCTTGACTCAGAAAAAAAGGTGCTTGGCGAAATGGTAAGTTTAGTTTGTTCTTAGAATTTATTTAAATGTGTATGCAGTAACAACCAGCAGCTTGAGCAACATAGATATTCATCAACTAAGTTAGTCATTAGTGAGGATTGGTGGCTATAACACCTCAAGTAGATGCTGTACTTTGACCTGGATGCATTCTGTCAGTACTTGTTTTATACGTTTTAACTACCTATGTCAAACAGTAACATTGCTATTGTGTAAATCTAGAATCTTTTATTTTCAATAAGGATTTAGATAATAGTTTACAGTCAACATATTGACCAAATAGAAAATATTACTCTATTATATTGGATAAGTTTGAGATTATTAATACTAAACCCTTAGTTGTGTTCTATTTTTTAACCATTTCTTCTTAACAATTTATTGATTTTTTAAATATATACTTCCAAGTTTGGGGTATATTATATGTCTCTTCAATTTTAGTTTATATTCATTGAACAGTCATATCTCTAGTGTCCAATAAAATGCCTGGCATAATATTAGGTGCACAAGAAATGTTTTTGCCATGATGAACCATTAAGATGGTTACCGTCGGTATATGTATACCATGGAGTTCTACTCAACCAGAAAAAACAATGGTGATATAGCACCTCTTGTATTATCCTGGAAAGAGCTGGAGCACATTCTACTAAGTATCCCAAGAATGGAAAAATAAGCACCACATGTACTCACCATCAAATTGGTATTAACTGATCAACACTTAAGTGCACATATATAATAACATTCATCGGATGTCAGGCAGGTTGAGGGGGAGAAGGAGATGGGTATATATATGCACCTAATGAGTGCAGTGTGCACCATCTGGGGGATGGACAAGCTTGAAGCTCTGACTTGGATGGGGCAAGGGCAATATATGTAACCTAAGCATTTGTACCCCCATAATATGCTGAAATAAAAAAATTAAAAAAAATATTACCTCAAAGAGTGCCAAGTTTTTATCAAAATATTCATCTCCTTCTTCATAATTTGATTTATTGAGATAAGCATTTCGAGCTTTCTTATGCCCATCATCTGGAAAAAAAAGTAAACCCAGTTAATTTCTCATTGGTATTGAAGAAACATCAGCACCAAATAACTACATGTTTATTCTATATTAATATAACCCATTTTCATATTCAAATTTAATCATAGAGTAGAACTCAATCAGCATTGCTTGGAGAATTTAACCCTCTCTCCAGCAGGAGCAAAAACAAATCTTTATGAAGTAAATGTGGCCCAGACTCCACCACTATACAATATATCTATAATATATACATGTAACAGAATTCAACTTGTATACACTAAATCTATTATAAATAAATAAATAACATTAAAGAAGGAGAAGGGTAAACAAACAAACAAAAAAAGTAAACATGAGTCATTCCTTCCTTACCAAGACAAAGACTTTGGGAGATACTATTCTTTTATAATTCCAGCCTACAGAAACCATACTCTTAAAGTTATCCAAACCTAGGAGGAAAAAAATAGAATATTTACTGAGTGTCTACTTAGTATATAATACTGTACTAGACATGGGCTACTCTACACACTGCTC